AGGCTGCCACACAGACAGACATAAAACTGCTCACAATTGACAGAAAATTTTAAAATCAGATTCTTAAACTGTGCATAGGAAATGCAACTCTAGTAGACTTGGTCTAAAAAATAAGGTTAAATCTGAGACCTGAGCACAAATCTGCTTAGAAACTATTGTAGCACAGGACACTTTGCTCAAATACATTTGAGAATTTCCTCTTTGCTTAGTGTATAACTATAAAATCACCAGCTGACTTTGAAAGTCCATCAGGAGTATGTGCTTAAATCACTTTCTCATACATCTGTCCCATCATTCAGTTACATCTTCAGTCATATAGATCATATCCTGGATTTCCCTACCTTAGACCATATTGCTCTCTGCCAGAAAAAGTCTTCTCTTCACCCTCTGCATCTAGAGTCTACCAGACTTTACTTATTTCATAGACTTGGTCATTAATTACAGTTATTAGTTTGTCTTTTCTTTTCCTCTAGATCAGAAGTCAGCAAACTTTTTCTGTAAAGGGCCAGAGTAGTGTTGCTGAAACCTGACCTCTGTCACACCAAACTGAATCATGGAGACAGAGTTTTGGGTGAAGTAGCGAAGAATAGCTTTATTGCTTTGCCAGGTGAAGCAGGCCACAGTAAGCTAATGCCCTGAAAACTATGTGTCCCAACCCATGGGGGCTTGTGAGGAGTTTTATAGTAATGGTTCAAGGGAGGCAGGGTTGCTGATAAGGATCAGGGTGCATTCAGGGCTTGCATTTCTTCAATCCAGAGATCATCTGGCATCACCGTGGTCTTGTGATGGGCTTCTGTGGTTCTTGAGGTTATCAAACTATGACCTTTTCTCTGGAATGAAGAATGCTTCATCAAGTAGTTAACATCTTCCATTTGGTGAGGGTTTTAGTTCTGCAGAAGAGCTCAAAGATATTGTTATGTATATCCTTTGAGGAGGTAACAGGACCCTGCCCCAAAGCTGCACTATCATTTCTTGACTGCTCCTCCCTTGTCTCCCAATCCTCTCCCTTCCCTGATTAACAACTGTTTGAACCTGCCCTTTGGAACTAGAGTTGGTCATGGAACCTGAATGAAGCTTATTTCCTACAAACAAGAAACAGGGGAGGCAGAAAGGCTTTTGTGCCCAGGAGCCCCACAGGGTCCTGCTCAGTTTCAGTAGGTTTTATATATAACAAAAGAGAAACCAAATTCCCAAAAAATTTCAATTGATGATATTCAAACCATCAAATGTAATAATAATGAGTACAATGTTTTATGTAATAGAGAACTACTAATGAAATGAATGGTCTTGTATATCTGATCTCAGAAAATGTCTTTTCACACAGATAGGTACTGCGCAATACTGATATCAATCCACAAGCATATAGATTTAACTCAACATATCTATCCTTGGAAGGCATGTGAACTCTATTAGATTCTTTTCTTCATATCTGCCATTTAGCATGCCATTACATTGAAGATTAATCATTTCTAATTCACAGATAAAAGTTCCTCAATTCCATATTTATTGCAACATGTTGAAAATTTGAGTTTGTGCACAAATTGACATTCTGCTTCTTGTTTTAACTTCTACAGGGCTGGAGTGTATAAAGTAACTTACCATTACTTGTGACTCATACAATTTTATTTGTCATCAGAGTGACTTTACTGCAGTATAAATTTTGCATATAAGCACTCTTTTACCTTACAATTTTAGGTTGATTTATCAAAACGTTATCAAGTTTGCAACAAAAACTAATTGCCAGAGTGATTCAGCATTCAATAATAGTGGTCAAGGGTACTTCTCATTCAGCAAAATTTCCATCTTGGCTCTGAGCTCAAAAATAAACCTTTGCCACTTATAAGCCATCCAACTGCTTGTATGGTAAGGCAAGTCAGGATATTCAACTTGCAATTTTGACAAAAGTTCACAGAATGACAATGGTTCCATTAGCAATAGCGAATGAAGTTCACTATTGACACTCCTAGTTCAATAACACATGATAGATTCAAATATTTTGCACAAAGTACCTGCTGATGTATAATACACCTGCTGATGTATAATAAATACACCTGCTGATGTATACACCTGCTGATGTATAATACACCTGCTGATGTATAATACACCTGCTGATGTATAATAAACAGCCATAGGCTTTGAACACCTTATGTTTTCCAAAGCATTGTATATTTGTCCAGCTAAACTTTTTTTCTGTGCAACATATATTTCACCCACCATTAGTTATAACACACCTTAACAGATCCCACATCAGGTTTTACTGAATTAGTGTTTTGTCAAATTCTTTGAAAATATTCTTACCTGTTCTGTTCCACACACACATTCATTCATAGAGGCTAATTTTTCAGTCTCTTCAAACTTGGTATCGCTTCCTCAAGCAAGTAACAGCAATTAAGCATTGTTGGTAACATCTGTTAACTCACAAAGGAAAAACACTCCATACCATTTTCCCTTTTTTTAAAAAATTTACTGTTGATGTTGCTCTCAGTATCCTCAACTTTTTGAGTAAATGTACTTGGTGAAACGCTAATAGTCTTAAGTTTGTTTTCTCTATATGTATTTCTTTGGTTGTTGTAAGCAAACCCTGTTTAATAACTCACCATCAGTGAGTAGTTCTCTCTGCTTGGCTAACAAATTAGCTTTTCAGAAACTTACTTTTGTCACTCATTTTCATTTATTTTTGTGATGAAATTCTGCTATGATGAGACCTTTCATTTTAATTTTCGAATTCTTCTAACTGTTGCTTTCCTGTGAGTTGGAATATTGTGATGAGTGCTTAGTCTGTAATATTAACGTGTATTGCATTCTTTTTGTCACAGCTATAGTGTCATTGCAGAATAAACACAATTTGCCATTTAAATGATAACAAAATAATTCTTGCTCAACTGGGCCTTAAAAATGTGATGTTCCACATCTGACTTTCTTTTTTTTTAATTTTATTTTATTATTTTATTTTTGCTGCATTGGGTCTACGTTGCTGTGCGAGGGCTTTCTCTAGTTGCGGCGAGCGTGGGCTACTCTTTGTTGCAGTGCATGGGCTTCTCACTGCGGTAACTTCTCCTGCTGCAGGGCACGGGCTCTAGGCGCACAGGCTTCAGTAGTTGTGGCATGCGGGCTCCAGAGCGCAGGCTCAGCAGCTGTGGCACACGGACCCAGGTGCTCTGCGGCATGTGGGATCCTCCCGGACCAGGGATTGAACCCGTGTCCCCTGCATTGGCAGGTGGATTCTTAACCACTGCGCCACCAGGGAAGCCCTGTCTCTTCTTTTTTTTTTTTTTTTTTTTTTTCTTTTCGGTACGCGGGCCTCTCACTGTTGTGGCCTCTCCCGTTGCGGAGCACAGGCTCCGGACGCGCAGGCTCAGCGGCCATGGCTCACGGACACAGCCACTCCACGGCATGTGGGATCTTCCCGGACCGGGGCACAAACCCGTGGCCCCTGCATCGGCAGGCGGTCTCTCAACCACTGCGCCACCAGGGAAGCCCCTGTTCTTTTCTTGATTTGACCAAATGGGCATGCAGGAATAATAAAATTATAAAAAATAAACTGTCATGGTAACGCAATAGGAATGGGGCACTTAAAACTGTGTGGAAGGAAAAATAATTTTTCCTCCACCCTTTCAGATTCTTGGCTGAGACCCTCCCCCCAACCTCATAATAAAAGACAGATTAACAGGAGAAAAACAAACAAGTTTAATAACATGTATCCCTCCTGTATACGTGAGAGATACCCAGGAAATCTGAGTAACTATCTGAAACTGCCCAAGCCATCACCTTAAATACCATCTTCAGATAAAGACAAAAGAAGATGTTGGGGGCAGGGGAGCCAGTTATGGGAGGCTATGAGGAAAAGCACAATAATCAAAGGTAAGATTGTTGTGTAGATTTAAGTCTGTTGCCTACTTCACTGAAAAATATTTTAGAGATTTAGTCATCCTTCACTTCCTGGTACAGAGAGGGAGACACACTTACAAATGGAGGTTTCCCTTATAAATGTAAATATCCTTTACAAAAGGGTAACTTTTCTTGGTTTTCAGAGCTTTTCTTATGTCTGCTGTTTCATAAAAATAATCAGCCTAAAATAATCCTTATGCCAGAAACATATTTTGGGGTGGCAAATATGCTCCCCTTCAAAACCCTGTGTCAAGTAATAATTACATAACTCTAATTGGTAGTACACCGAACATCAGTATGAAGTCTTGAGAGTGTGACATAAGGTCTCTGTCACTGCTACTCTATTCTGCTATTATAGCCCATGAGATTCCAACAGTCACTGAACTGGGTTTTCTTAGCTTTCTTGAAAAATTTCTCCCTTGGCTAGATAAAAGGATAACTTTTTAACCAAACCCTTTCCCCCATATACTAAAATCACATACATAGAAATGTGTAGAGTATACATTCAATATTTTTTAAAACAGAGAATATACTCTCTGTACTGAAGAGAATGAAATAGATATAGACATCATCTTTTCAAAATCTTGATAATTATTCTGGGTTCGTACGCTAGTATCTCTATATTGGTTCATAAGTTTCTTGGCATTTATAACAACTGTTAAATATCTTTATATGATAGATAGCAAATTTGTGATGTGGTGGCATGCACAGGATAGATTTTAATTTCAGACACTGTAAATTTGCAAATACAAGCTGTTGAAGCCATTGAGTTGTAAAAGCATTGGACTGAAAGTCTCTCCAACTTAAATTTCAGCCATTTAAATGTTTTAAACTGCCCTCCACAATTGCACTCAGATGTTTAATGGAACTCTTAAATTAACACTGGGTTATAAGCTCCATGGGAAAAGGAATTTTTTTTTTTTGTCTCTTGTTTATTCCCAGTACCTAGAGGTGTGTCTATCACATTGTAAGTCCTCAATAACTACAATGTCTAGAAAGAGATATTTACCCAGGCACTATTTTACTTACCTGTGTTTGATGCATGTGTGCATTGTACTATGTTTTTCACATTTAACAAACAAAAATACTTCTATTTTGTTCCCCTTGTAAAGCCAATGAAGGAGGTTATACGATCTCGCACACCCATGAAAGAGACAACTACTGTGGAGATCTGGACTCAACCCCAACCACAGGTATGAAAGGAAACACTTGATATTTCCCTTTACTTGATGTTTATGAATGTATAAAAACCAATCTTTTTAAAATTTTTAATTTTTTTTTATTTTTTAACATCTTTATTGGAGCATAATTGCTTTACAATGGTGTGATAGTTTCTGCTTTATAACAAAGTGAATCAGTTATACATATACATATGCTCCCACACCTCTTCCCTCTTGCATCTCCCTCCCTCCCACCCTCCCTATCCCACCCTTCTAGGTGGTCACAAACCACCGAGCTGATCTCCCTGTGCTATGCAGCTGCTTCCCACTAGCTATCTATTTTACGTTTGGTAGTGTATATATGTCCATGTTACTCTCTCACTTTGTCCCAGCTTACCCTTCCCCCTCCTCATATCCTCAAGTCCGTTCTCTAGTAGGTCTGTGTCTTTATTCCCGTGTTAACCCTAGGTTCTTCATGACTTTTTTTTCCCCTTAGATTCCATATATATATGTTAGCATACGGTATTTGTCCTTCTCTTTCTGACTTACTTCACTCTGTATGACAGACTCTAGGTCTATCCACCTCATTAAAAATAGCTCAATTTCGTTTCTTTTTATGGCTGAGTAATATTCCATTGTATATATGTGCCACATCTTCTTTATCCATTCATCCGACGATGGGCACGTAGGTTGTTTCCATCTCCGGGCTATTGTAAATAGAGCTGGAATGAACATTTTGGTACATGGCTCTTTTTGAATTATGGTTTTCTCAGGGTATATGCCCAGTAGTGGGATTGCTGGGTCATATGGTAGTTCTATTTTTAGTTCCTTAGGGAACCTCCATACTGTTCTCCATAGTGGTTGTATCAATTTACATTCCCACCAACAGCACAACAGTGTTCCCTTTTCTCCACACCCTCTCCAGCATTTATAGTTTCTAGATTTTTTGATGATGGCCATTCTGACCAGTGTGAGATGATATCTTATTATAGTTTTGATTTTCATTTCTCTAATGATTAATGATGTTGAGCATTCTTTCATGTGTTTGTTGGCAATCTGTATATCTTCATTGGAGAAACGTCTATTTAGGTCTTCTGCCCATTTTCGGATTGGGTTGTTTGTTTTTTCGTTATTGAGCTGCATGAGCTGCCTGTAAATTTTAGAGATTAATCCTTTGTCAGTTGCTTCATTTGCAAATATTTTCTCCCATTCTGAGGGTTGTCTTTTGGTCTTGTTTATGGTTTCCTTCACTGTGCAAAAGCTTTGAAGTTTCATTAGGTCCCATTTGTTTATTTTTGTTTTTATTTCCATTTCTCCCGGAGGTGGGTCAAAAAGGATCTTTCTGTGATTTATGTCATAGAGTGTTCTGTCTATGTTTTCCTCTAAGAGTTTGATAGCTTCTGGCCTTATATTTAGGTCTTTAATCCATTTTGAGTTTATTTTTGTGTATGGTGTTAGGGAGTGTTCTAAGTTCATACTTTTACATGTACCTGTACAGTTTTCCCAGCGCCACTTATTGAAGAGGCTGTCTTTTCTCCACTGTATATTCTTGCCTCCTTTATCAATGATAAGGTGACCTGATATATGTGTGTGGGTTTATCTCTGGGCTTTCTATCCTGTTCCATTGATCTATATTTCTCTTTTTGTGCGAGTACCATACTATCTTGATTTCTGTAGCTTTGTAGTATAGTCTGAAGACAGGGAGCCTAATTCCTCTAGCTCTGTTTTTCGTTCTCAAGATTGCTTTGGCTATTCGGGGTCTTTTGTGTTTCTATACAAACTGTGAAATTTTTTGTTCCAGTTCTGTGAAAAATGCCAGTGGTAGTTTGTTAGGGATTGCATTGAATCTGTAGATTGCTTTGGGTAGTAGAGTCATTTTCACAATGTTGATTCTTCCAATCCAAGAACATGGTATATCTCTCCATCTATTTGTATCAACTTTAATTTCTTTCATCAGTGTCTTATAATTTTCTGCATACAGGTCTTTTGTCTCCTTAGGTAGGTTTATTCCTAGATATTTTATTCTTTTTGTTGCAATGGTAAATGGGAGTGTTTTCTTGATTTCACTTTCAGATTTTTCATCATTAGTATATAGGTGGCCTCTCCCATTGTGGAGCACAGGCTCCGGACGTGCAGGCTCAGCGGCCATGACTCACAGGCCCAGCCGCTCCGTGGCATGTGGGATCTTCCCGGACCGGGGCACAAACCCGTGTCCCCTGCATCGGCAGGCGGACTCTCAACCACTGCGCCACCAGGGAAGCCCATGGGTGTGTTTTCTTAATTTCACTTTCAGATTTTTCATCATTAGTGTATAGGAATGCCAGAGGTTTCTGTGCATTAATTTTGTATCCTGCTACATTATCAAATTCATTGATTAGCTCTAGTAGTTTTCTGGTAGAATCTGTAGGATTCTCTATGTAGAGTATCATGTCATCTGCAAACAGTGACAGCTTTACTTCTTCTTTTCTGATTTGGATTCATTTTATTTCTTTTTCTTCGCTGATTGTTGTGGTTAAAACTTCCAAAACTATGTTGAATAAGAGTGGTGAGAGTAGGCAACCTTGTCTTGTTCCTGATCTTAGTGGAAATGGTTTCAGTTTTTCACCATTGAGGACAATGTTGGCTGTGGGTTTGTCATATATGGCCTTTATTATGTTGAGGAAAGTTCTTTCTATGCCTACTTTCTGCAGGGTTTTTATCATAAATGGGTGCTGAATTTTGTCAAAAGCTTTCTCCTCCTCTATTGAGCTGATCATATGTTTTTTCTCTTTCAGTTTGTCAATATGGTGTATCACGTTGATTGATTTACGTATATTAAAAAATCCTTGCATTCCTGGGATAAACCCCACTTGATCAAGGTGTATGATCCTTTTAATGTGCTGTTGGATTCTGTTTGCTAGTATTGTGTTGAGGATTTTTGCATCTATGTTCATCAGTGATATTGGCCTGTAGTTTTCTTTCTTTGTGACATCTTTGTCTGGTTTAAGTATCAGGGTGATGGTGGCCTTGTAGAATGAGTTTGGGAGTGTTCCTCCCTCTGCTATATTTTGGAAGTTGAAAAACATTCTTAAGATGTATTTCTCAATATGTATTCCATGGAGTTTCTTTAGGTGATTTTATGCTGGACTCTAGTGTGAAAATATGACAGTAAATACATATTTCTTCCTAGTGTAGTTTGATAATAATATTGGAGGTAGTTTATTTTTTGCATAAGGTAAAATTATTCTTCAAAATGCATCTTCTAAATGGTTATCTATTCCACTGATATTTGTCTAGTCATGAGGTCATGGAGTGAAAAAAAATTTGAGAACTGCTGTTTTACAATAAGACTTAAATTTAAGGTTTAGCATTATATAGGACAATTTGATTTTATGCTAATCAGGCAAATTTTAGTAAGACCTCCCTGAAAGAAACCAGTTTGAATTTTAAAGGAAATTGTTATAAAGTATTCTTAAAGAATCCACTTTTTCTCATTTCAATCAGGACAGCTCAAAATGTGACTAACAAATCCAATCAAATTTGTTTTCTTCAGAGGCCATAAGGGGAATTTAAAAATGAAGTGAGGAGACCAATCTAAACATTTGTTGGCCATTTATTATTCTGTGGCTGGTTTACTTACTGTTTTCCATAACATAGAGGTCCTGAATTTGACCCCTTGGGTGCCAAGTTAGTAACCAGAAATTATCCTTTATCCAGTTATTTTCAAATGTCATTTATTTGTTACAAATGATATAAATTTTAAAAATGTAGATACATAAATGCATATCTAGAGTATTAGAAAAACAACCCAAATGGAGTGAGAAGAGAATCACATTGCCTATCCTTTGTTATTTGACAAGTGCTTCTGAAATTCATGAAAATCATGTGTTCTATAATAATAACATCCTACAATATTTTACAGTGTTAATTTATGCTCTTTAGGAAGAGTTACAGGATTAATACATGCCCTGTGGAAAGAAATGGTTAATTAAATAAAGGTTCATTGCAACCCAGGAGCTGTCCAAATTGTGACTAGCTTTAAATTACTCAAGTCAGAATTCACAAAGTTTTGCCAAATTTCAAACTGACTTTCCGGTCTTGAACCTCTGATTCAGTCTCAAGAAAATTGGTGAGGATATAGAATGCACGATGACAGAATCCACATCTATATCCTTGATTAAGAGGCTATACAGTCTTCAGAATAGCTGTTTTGAGTAAAAGTACACAATTTTAAAATATGTACTTTAAGGTCCAAAGATTTTAACTACTAATGTGACAAGAGATAGGACTAAGATAAATAGTTAGATGACAGATGAAATTAGACATTGTTATAGCACTCTTCCTCTATGAATAAGACATTGCTCTATGAGCAATATTTTTTACCTAGCCAGTTACTCCTGGTTGTATTCTACTAAAAGGAGTGCAATATAAGTAATTCTACTAATTTCTTGCTGATTACTGATTCTCTTGTTTGTTTACAAACTTACAATCTTGTTGGAGACACAATTATTTCTTTTTTTATTGAATTATACTCCAATGAAACATTTTTATTGGAGTATAATTGCTTTACAAAGTCGTGTTAGTTTCTGCTGTATAACAAAGTGGATCAGCTATATGTATACTTATATCCCCATATCCCCTCCCTCTTGCGTCTCCCTCCCACCCTCCCTGCCCCACCCCTCTAGGTGGTCACAAAGCACTGAACTGGTTTCCCTGTAGTGGGTTCATTTTGCTTGAGGTTCTTTTATTAGGTAAATCTTTTAGATATCTGAGAGCCTTGATTGTCCTTACTGCCTGAGACTTCAATTGAAATTTAATATGTGTCATAGAGTGGTGGATTGCACTGCATAGAATTATCTTGAATATGATACAGATAGGGACTTTCCAACCTTGTTTTTGGTAAACATTGTGCTTGCATCTGAAAAGTTTAAAGAAAATATGTGTTTTATGAATAAGCTTTTATGATTTCTTATATTTAGCAAGATATTCAATACTCACTTGTGGGATTTCAAAAGCAACAATCTAAAAATAGAAACTACTGAAACTAGAGTGTA